TTACAAATTTATGTAAAACATTTATTGTTTTAGTAATAGAAGCGAACACCCGCAAAATAGCCCATTATCAATATTCTCAATAAGGCTATATACTCAACTCGTTCATATCAATTTGATACGATTTTATTGAGAAGGCATTGACAATTATAATAGATTCTGACATAATGTACATGAATAGGAGATTTTGTCGCAAAATATTCAGTAATAGGTGCGAGAGAAATTGAGAAAAAGAAACAATCTATTAAGAAAAGAGACGGATAAAAGAACAGCACTACGTAACAGGAAACAAAAGCAAATAAACACCGTCCATTCATTACCTAATAGATAGATAGATAGATAGATAGATAGATAGATAGATAGATAGATAGATAGATAGATAGATAGATAAGGAACAGATTGTGCTGTACAGATAATAGATAGATAGATAGATAGATAGATAGATAGATAGATAGATAGATAGATAAGAGGTCGTGGTAGACAAATATATGGATATGAACTGATCGAGATAGATAGATAGATAGATAGATAGATAGATAGATAGATAGATAGATAGATAAGGAACAGGTTGTGCTATACATATAATGAACAGATAGATAGATAGATAGATAGATAGATAGATAAGGGACAGGTTGTGCTATACAGATAATGAACAGATATAGATAGATAGATAGATAGATAGATAGATAGATAGATAGATAGATAGATAGAGGTAGAGAAATATCTGGATATGAACAGATTGATAGGTTTGAATATACCCAGAATTTTCTTAAATGATTCTTCTTTTTTTTTCGTATTTAATCTAACATATTTTTGTGTTGTTGTCCCTTTCTTCTTAACACAGTAGAATTCGTTTGATTTGCATAGCTGCTCATTTTTGTTTTTTCAGACAAATGATTTAAAATAAGCAATTTTCCCGTCTTTACACATTAGCTGAATCAAGGAAACTAGAGCTAACTTACAAAAATGCCTAAAATATTCGGATTTAGGATCATAAAATTGTTTAAAATTAGCTATGATATCCCTTGCACCATCTCAAAAAAAATTGTCGGCCTGTGTAGTCAATCCATTGCTTTGATGACAATTGTGTAATATCAAACATCACATATTAACATGTGAAAATATAAAATAATAATTTATTCGGTTGTACAGGATATTCGGATTTCAGGGTCATTAAATTTGTTTAAAACTAGCTATTTCACGATGCACCGTTTCAAAAATATTCTTGTTTGGCCTGTGTAACCAATCCGTCCCTTTGATGACGATTGTAAAATGTTAAAGATCGCATATTAACATGTGAAAATATAAAATAATAATTTATTCGGTTATATAGGATATCATGTTAATAAAATATATGTTCCTCTGGTTATATCTTTTATAATAATCATTACAAATTTATGTAAAACATTTATTTTTTTCAGTAATAGAGCCGAACACCCTCAAAATAATTCATTATATATATTATTGATAAGGTTATATAATCAGCTCGTCCATACCAATTTTATGCGGTTTAATAGGGAAGGCATTGACAATTATAACAGATTCTGATATAAGATAGATGAATAGAAGATTTTGACATAAAATATTCAGGAATTAAGCCTACATATGCTTCTTAGAATTTCGGTTTTGTTTGCTTCCTTTTCCTTCAGAAAGGGCTTGCTGCATACTCAAGCACATGCTTTGAACTGTTAGATACGTAGCACATACCGTTTACTTGTCTGCACCACAGAAGAAAAAAAAACTCCTACATATTCACATTTACTTGGCACGTATTCAGAATTTCATTACAGCAAACATCACCGAAATATAATAAAACCACCTGCAGTGCTATAAAAACCGTGAGCCAACTGCCTTCAAAAAAGATTAAAACTATTAAAACGAGAAAATAATAAATTCTAGGCGTTAATATGACAAACTTGGAAAGCGAAATCACCTGCAGAGAAATATCAAAGAGAAGAGCGCGTTTCCTTACCGAATTTCAATCTTTGTTTCGATTTTATTTCTTATTTTTAAATGAAGTTGAATTTAGAATCAGGGCTCTTCAGTTTCTCTATAAAAGTAAGTCGAGAATGAAAGGGACTGATTTTTCTTCTTTTTTCTCGTCTATGTGATATATCATTTCAGGTCTTTGGCGATCATTGCTCTCCATCATTTCCTGTCCTTTGTTGCTCTTAATAAATTTTGTCTTGTTTTTTATATCTTCTAAGCTATGCTTCGCCATTCGTCGCTACATAGGTTATGTGTTAATTTCCTCTGCCCCCCTCCCCCGCGACACTGTCTTCAATCTTTTCTGTAAGTCCTCTTTTCTCTTTAATTCCCCTAGAAGTTTCAACTATCTCTTTCTGATGTGTAGCCTAAAGGTCATTTTTTTTTCCATTTTCTCTCACAAACCCTGTTTGATTATGCATCTACTCAAGCTCGATAGTTGAGTTTGTGGATTGTTTTCCCTGTCCTTTTTGTCTTTACTCTGTCCTAAATCAAAATTTTCCAAGCCCTCTTTCCTCACTATGTACCCTAGAAATTTCTATTCTTTAAGCATAAGGGTCCTTTTTGTTTGTATTCTCTCTCCTAAATCCTGTTCCGCCATCCATTTGCTGAGGTTCAATATGTATGTTTACGTATTATTTCGCTCTAGTCCTTTTGTTTTCTGTCCTGTGAGTAACAAATTCTCCAAGTCGTCTTTCCTCATTATTTTTATATATAATAATAATAATAATAATAATAATAATGGACTATTCCATACTTAATAAATACTGCGCCTCAGTAGTAGGCAAGAAGTCAAGTCAGTCAGTAGTTCAAGTCGAGTCAGTAGTTCAAGTCGAGTCAAGAGTCGAGTTAGGGCAGTCGGAAACAGAGTCGCGTTCAGACAATTACTACAAGACATTGGAATAGTGATACTGATTGAGACGACATTGTTCTCCCTACTAAACCTGATTGTTCGTACTAACCCTTTCTACTTCTCTGTATATATTCCTGTTTGTAATATATCTGTATTATTCCATACCTGTGTTCGAGATCTTCTTTATTGGTTCTACCTTGGACTATCACCGTGGTACAAGGAACCGGACCATAACAATTATGTACCCTAGAAATTACAATTCTCTCTTCCTGATGTTAAATAGAAATTTTTTTTTTCCATTTATTTTAAAAATTCGTCTTTGCTCACATTGTCGGTCCATGTTTTTCTCAGCATCCTTCTGTAGAACCACATTTGTGTTTCTTCAAGTATCTTCTTCATCTATCAGGCTACATTCATTGACATATAGGAGGACTGATATTACGTCACAGTTCAGTATTTTTTTTTCATTATTTCTAACGAAACTTTCATGTTACTTAATAATTTGCTTAGCTTTCGGAAGGTATCTTTCGCTATCCCAACGAAATGTTTTAATGTCTAATTTGTCGTCGTCTGTTAAAACACTTTCCAGATATTTAAATTCTTGGATTGGTTTGATTTTAATATAACCAATTTGTAATGTGCATTTTGCTCTGTTCCAAACTATGCATTTTGTCTTCTTGTAAATGACAATTAGTCCTTTCTTCTCGGTTTCCTTTACTAACTTCGGAAGGAATTCTTCTAGTTTAAAACGGTAACAATAATATCGCCCGTTTCCTTATAAGGAAACAATCGACACTCATTGACCGATAAGCTTGTACTTTTTTCGGTTGATATTTATAAAATAAATTAACAGGAAGTTTTGTCAATATTTACATTATTCGAACTATTGTCCCCATCTTTGTCGCCATATTTATTACAACGTTTCGGCCATTGTACGCATCGGCCTTCCTCACGTGGTTGCAATGTAGAACTGAACATTGGATGGCAGTTATCAGTTCCATTGTTCAGTTCGACATTTCAACCACGTGAAGAAGGCCGGAGCGTACAACGGCCGAAACATTGTAATAAATATGGCGAAAAAGATGGAGACAATTGTCCGAATAATGTAAATAATGTACATAATACCGCATCTCAGAAATATATAGACAAGTTTTCTCATGTCTCGTAGGTATTATTGCTATTTTGCACTATTGATGAGGCTACATACTTAAATTTTATTTGGCTTAGTGTGTACTGTCATTTTTTTTCTCATCCTGTATCTGTTGCTGTTGTTGAAATGTATACAATTGATATAGTTTCTGTTATTTGGTAAAGTTTTTTTTGTATGTGATTCTATATCGCAAAGTATAAAGATGTAAGGGCTTCGTCAAGCCCCACAGGTTTCGCTTGCTCAAAAGCAATTTTAAAGCAGGAAATTGATAAGTTTCTGGACGGATTTCGCGCCATGTGTTACATCTCTATGAATGTTTCGATGTGACGAGACTTTCAAGGACACGACTCAAACTTTATTAGGCTTTTCCTACAAATGAAAAGCAACTGAACTAATTTTTAATCTATGCGTATTTCTATATGAAGCCTTTCAAAAAATATCCACAGTATGGACGTGTATTAGGCAATACAGTGTTTGGTAAATCTGGTGCGATTAAAATCTCTGGGGCTAGCTTGTTATTCTGTTTAAACAAAAAAGTAGTCTTAGACGAGGAAAGGGCAGGTAAAAGACTATTTTTTCTGGGGCTGGGGAGTTGATTTTTAAATGGTGTTGGCGAATAAAGTACAAATAGTTGGATAGGAAGAAAAGATCACTCCCTATATTTTTCAAGTACCTTAGTGAGAAGTAAATAAAATATTACCTATCTATCGTAGCTCATTCGTTATCTATCTATCTAATTATTTTTTATATTTCTGCTTTTATGAATCTATATCTACAAATCTATATAGTTCTATCTATCTATCTATCTATCTATCTATCTATCTCTTTCATTCTTTTCTTTTTCAATCATTTCATCACAAGCAGTTCAATAAATCTAGTAAGATAAAAGCAATGCCAGAGAACACGTGAAAAAAGAAAAATATTAAGAGAGAGAATAAAATAAATAAAACAATAAAAGAAAAGATATTAGAAACAGGAAACAGTGAGTAATAGAATAACCATCCCGTTCATTATTTATAGATAGATAGATAGATACGTACCGACTACATAGATAGATAGATATATATATATATATATAATAGATACATAGATACATAGATAGATAGATACGTGCCGACTACATAGATAGATAGATACGTACCGACTACATAGATAGATAGATACATAGATATATACGTACCGACTACATAGATTGATAGATAGATAGATAGATAGATAGAGAGATAGATAGATAGATAGATAGATAGATACGTACCGACTACATAGATAGATAGATAGATAGATAGATAGATACGTACCGACTACATAGAGAGATAGATAGATAGATAGATAGATAGATAGATAGATAGATAGATAGATAGATACGTACCGACTACATAGATAGATATATAGATAGATAGGTAGATAGATAGATAAATAGATACGTACCGACTACATAGATAGATAGATAGATAGATAGATAGATAGATAGATAGATAGATACGTACCGACTACGTAGATAGATAGATAGATAGATACGTACCGACTACATAGATTGATAGATAGATAGATAGATAGATAGATAGATACGTACCGACTACATAGATAGATAGATAGATAGATAGATAGATACGTACCGACTACATAGATAGATAGATAGATAGATAGATAGATAGATAGATAGATAGATATTCAATTAAATGGAAAATGATACCTATATTTAACGTCAGAAAGAGACTGTTGACATTTCTAGGTCACAAAATGCGGGAAGAGAGCTTAAAAATACGCATGTGACATAGGGAGAGCAAGAGGGACAGAGAAAAACAGTGCATAAACCTACCTAGCGAGCATGATAAATGAATGCTGTAAGTGGGTTTTGGAGAGAATTTAATGAAACAGACATAGCCAGAATATGAAAACATTCTCGACGATTCCTGCCCCCCGCAAGAACATGTTTCCGCGGTAAACCACGTCTATGATTTTATTGTTGATTACCTTTTCCGCTGATGATGTCTCTAGTGACTTATTAGTCGAATGACCGAAATTTGAAGCCACAAATTTTGCTAATAAGCTTAGAATTTTTGCATTGGTATCAGTGTGTTCTGATTTGTGACGCGCGGCAAATTCGATGGCTCACCTGCACACTTTTTTTGCTGTTATTGTGTACTCCCTCTAAAGAGACTATTTTGGACACTTCCGCCTACTATAAGATTAGTAGGAGAGAAGGCCTTCGGGGAACAGTCGAACAGATCTATTCGGACTGTGCTGTCGAACTTTGGCAGAGAGGAACCCGGACGTGGCTGAGCCGAAGGACAAAGTTTCGTTCGGGGAGGTAGACCGGCCCTGAACCCGTTTATGCAGATTCTAAAGGACTATTTTTCGCCGAGCCAACGAGCTCAGAGAACCCACGGTAAACTCGGCCTTGTGCCACATACATCCTTCGAGGTGTGGGGGGGGACTGTTAGATATAACAGTCGAATAGATTTTTCATCTGTCGAACTCTCTGCCTCGGCAGAGAGGTACTCAGACAAAGCTTCGCCGCAGGGCAAAGTTTCGTCCGGGGAGGTAGACAGTCCCTGAACTCATTTATACGGGTTCTAAGGGAATATTTTTGGCCGAGCCTACGGGCTCGGAAAACCCACGCTAAACTCGGCCTTGTGCTGCATACATCCCTCGTGGGTGATGCTGTTAAATATTAACAGTCGAATAGATTGTTCATTACTGTCAAACACCCTGCCTTTGGTAGAGAGGAATCCGGACGAGGCTGTGCCGAAGGCCAGAGTTTCGTCCGGGGAGGTAGACAGACCCGAACCCGCTTATACGGCTTCTACAGAAATATTTTTGGCCGAGCCCACGGGAGAGGAGAACCCACGGTAAACTCGGCCTTGTGCTACATACATCCCTCGATGTTGGGGGTGTTGAATATAACAGTCATATAGATTGAACGCTGTGTCAACTGACACACTCTCACTAGTCGTGTAATACTCAACTGTTGTACTTACTGTTTAATATATGATATATGTGCAACATTTGTTTTGTTTTTATTTTAATCATTTACTTCACAACAATTGTATAGATTCCAACTGAAATCAAGCTTGAAATCATTTTGAAAGCTTGTGTTCTCGGGAAGATTGTTAAAAATCAAGCAAGTCTTTGAAACCTAGAGCGACCACATTCAGCACAAGTGTTATGGAGTGGTTTACCAGTGGAGGCTTGTATTTGTACTAAGTTGGTCCTAAAATAGGTTCGACGAACAAAACGTTAGGAACTTCATAAAATATGTATGACGCAGAGAAAATCTAGTTGTGGTCGCTGATACTTTAGTATCCGACTAACGACCCACGAGCGACGGTATTTAGTCAGCACCCCCCACGTGGGCATCTTGTAGCACAAGGCCGGTTTAACGGGGGATCTCCGAGTCAAAAATATGCCCTTTGAAGCCGTATAAAAGGGTTCAGGGTCGGTTTACCTCCCTAAAAGAGACTCCGCCCTTCGGTGTAGCCTCGTTCGGGTTCCTCCCCGCCCGAAGGCAGAGAGTTCAACCGGTCAGCCGGTCGCCCGACTGAACTCAGACAGACACACTGAGCGACTATATTTAGTCACTCCGCCACGAGGGCATCATGTTGCACAAGGCCGGTTTAACGTGGGATCTCCGAGTCCGTGGGCTCGGCCAAAAATATGCCCATTGAACCCGTATAAACGGGTTCAGGGCCGGTTTACCTCCCCTAAAGAGAATCCGCCCTTCGGCGTAGCCTCTTTCGGGTTCCTCCCCGCCCGAAGGCAGAGAGTTCAACCGATTAGCTGGTCAGCCTGACTGACTCACTGAGCGACTGCACTTGTTACTCTTACTACTCTTACTTATAAGTGGGAGAGTCTATTAACTATAGAATAGGTGTGTTCCATTATAACAACAATTAAGAGAAATGTTAGTACCTTTTAGTGGGAAGGTGTTTGTCTTCTCCCTGTAGCGAGAAGCTCGTTTTATCTCTGCGTATTCGGGCCTAACCGCCATTAGGTGGGTCCTTCAAGTATACATTTTACACGCAGTATCCTCCCAAATATTTGTGATGATATTGACTTTCGTAAATGTCTCATCGAGCTAATCATTGTATCGTTTCTGTGGCTTGCAACGAAGATGATTGCCTTCCACAAAATCACCATACGGTTGTTTTATAAGCGGACGACGTGGCCAGTTGAGGCGAGGGCTACTTCGTACTCTACTTGGTATAGATGACAAAAATATAGTTTTAAGTTATGCAATATTTATTGTTAATAATGCAAACTGTTATAGTAGAGCAAATGTAAAAATAAAATATTCTTGTCCATCATTATTTATGGATACATCTATGGCCTGAAGATTGCATTCAGGCAACACAAAGTATGTTGTCACTTGGTGTTGACAATCAGTGTCAATTTATAACATATATATATATATATATATATATATATGTGTGTGTGTGTGTGTGTGTGTGTGTGTGTGTGTGTGTGTGTTATAAATTTGGCTATATAATCCCAGCAGAGTTATAAACTATTGACATTTGGAAAACCTTCATGAAAGTATTTTTTCGAAAAAACATCCGGCTATGCATTTTGCTTGTTTGATGAAGCCAAAAAGGCGAAATGCATAATCGGATATATATATATATATATATATATATATATATATATATATATATATATATATATATATATAAAAGAAATATGTTGTAGTGGTTCCAACGAGAGAAAAGTATATATATTAAAAGAAGAGGGTGCCTGCAAAACGTTTTTGGTTGTAATGTGGATTTATTGAGAAAAATATTATACTTTTGTTTTACATAATTTCACGACACGTGTTTCTGGTCTGGTCTCGCAACCGTCTTCAGGTGAAAGTGGAGATTTTACATATTATTAAAAATAATTAATTTTCTTCATGTTCAATGTGGAATATTCTCGATATGAGACATTCTGTTTGTGTGGCAATCCGAATTTTCTTTCTAGAAAATTAATTATTTTTAATAATATGTAAAATCTCCACTTTCACCTGAAGACGGCAAGAGACCAGACCAGAAAACGTGTCGTGAAATTATGTAAACAAAGTATAATATTTTTTTCTCAATAAATCCACATTACAACCAAAAACGTTTGGTGGCATATATATATTTTATATATATATATATATATGTATGTGTGTGTGTGTGTGTGTGCACGTATGCATACATATGTGTGCGTGGGTGAGTGGGTGTATGAAATAGTCACTGAGGGCAGCACGAAACAGTGACTATCTATCTATCTATCTATCTATCTATCTATCAATCTATCTATCTATCTATCTCACCTCTTCATTATCTCTATCACACACCCGCGTTATCTATCTATCTATCTATCTATCTATCTATCTATCTATCTATCAATCTAATCTGATAGATAATGAAGTATCAACGATAGCTAGATATATATAAATAAAGAACGAGCTGCGTGTTTAAAATAATGAAATCTTGCTCGTGACACCACAAAGAGGAAGAAAATTACTAACTTTAAAAAAATATCGTTTAACATTTTCTGTTTTCCGCCTTAAGTGTTCGAGTTTAGAGATTGAACTCCCTTCAGAATGGAAAGAAAAATAAGCGAGACAATTGTTTTTCTCCATGCTTCATCCATATCGATATGTCATAAATTTAATTATATAATCTCGGCAGAGTCATAAAGTATTGACTTTTGGAAAAACGTTCAAATATATATATATATATATATATGTATATATATATATATATATATATATATATATATATATATATATGTGTGTGTGTGTGTGTGTGTGTGTGTGTGTGTGTGTGTGTGTGTGTGTCTAATTATATGATAGGCGTATACGGAATAAATTCGAATGACCAATAATTACTATTCTTAAAAGAGTGCTTAATACAGAGTAGAGCGAATATAATTATTTGTCTAAAAATTATAACATAAATATGATATAAAATCACTACAAAAATAGCCATTTTGTTTCAACACCTCTTGTGTCTTACCAAATGATGATGTTCAATGTAGATTGTAGAATAAAGGTTTTAAAAGGTTCAAATTAATTAACCATACCTCGTAAGGAGAAACGCTGTTACATAAGCTGGAATGACCAATCAAAATACAAGTATACGAGAATACCAAAAACTTTACAACAAAGGTAAGGTTATAATAATTGTTAAATGCTTTAAAGTTGGGGGTTATACTAAAATAGAATTTATTCTAACTAATAAGTATTAAATTGTACGATAAAATTTAAAGCTACCCATTTCAAAAATGTAAGTTTAATCTATATTAAGTTTTAAATTTTAAAATTATTGAAGAAAAAAGAAAAAAATAAATATGTTATTCTATTTGTTTTGTTTCTATTGAAATTACGTTGGAATAAACGTTAAGATCGACTGCCTTTAACTTAATGACAACATGGATACAAGTGTATACATGGGATTATGACATCTTGCGAAAGACAATACAAACACAATCAGATTATAATACATAAGCACGCAGACATATTTAGAAGAAGGAAATTACTGGAAAGTAATTGAAACTCACCTGAAGCGAGCTGAATGTGTAATGCTCCTCATACCAATGACACTTCCACCGAGCTTCTCTACGGCATATGACTTTGATGTTCCTCTCGAATTTATATTTAAATTGGGGTCATAAGGAGAGAATGTGCACCGTTTCGGGGCCTTCCTTTCAACGGTTTCATTTGCACACCGCCCCCCACCTCACTGATGTGAGGCCTCATTATAACGATATACAAGTGTGTTGTAGATAAACTAGTTCAAATGTCTAACGGCGAAATTAAATTTACGAAAATTCCGAAAAACGGCAAACCTCGCATTCTGAGAATGCAACATGAACCTCATTACGCATTCACGATCAGTCATGTCATTCCGTCATGTTCGCTAAAACACTCCATGGAATATTTCTTTTTTTTCCATATCCACATA